ATTCATAACCGAATGTAAGTGGCAAAAATATGGTAATTGGCGAGCCCTGTTTAAAGTCCCAGATCTTCATTCATACATACTACTGGCTTACACAGGTTGACCATTTATCACGCGTTGGCCTTTTGGAGTATGAGTTACGGCCTAACTGCGTCAACTCCAGTTCTTCTTCTGCTGCTTCTGCTGCTCGGTCCGCATGTATGCATGTGTGCATGCCTGCATCGCATCATCTCTTTTTTATCCTCGTGAGATTAGTTTCCACCTTAGTAGCCTGGTAGGAAGGACGTGGCCTCGGTCGTTCGGTCTTCAGTTCTATGGTGGACACTTTCATAACGTTCATATGTTATTCCGCTAAAGTCCACACTTGTCCTTCAGCAGAACACAAGCAATGCGCTGAAACTGAAAGTGATTAAATAAAAAGAAATTCTAGGTTATTTGTGGTTTCGATAATCCTTCCATTATGAGCTTGCCACGGACAATGTCCCATGACGTTCAAGTTTGTCGTCTAGTGAAAGCAATCGGAAGAGAGCCCAGCTACTTTGCATTCACTTGTCTATCTACTAGCATATCTATTCGCCTACCCTCTCATCGTTACCACTAATATGATGTAGCACCTGAGTCGGTACTGAGGAGGTGGTAATGCATACAAGTGTACATGCCGATGTACACAATTACTTGCTGGTTGCAGCCATTAATGTACCCTCAACGACACGATGGTGGCGCATACTGCTGGCTGAATTACTTTCCTATCGTAATGCAACATGATTGTTTTACCTAATTTTCAATCCTATGTAGTGCAGGTATGCTTGAGTAGTTGACTGCATATGCACGTGTCAGTTATTTAAAGAGACTGGTATTGTTTTAAGGGTCATCGTCGGATCTGTCTGTCACACCGATCTCGAACTGATTTGCAACAGGAGCTGCCAAACCTGGCTTTTTGCATGCTGGCGTTTATGGCGTCCTCTTTCTAGCAATTCAGATGTCAAATGGAGTAATTACAAAATGCCAATATGTGTAAGTACGTTGTTCTCAACAGAGTTACGAATTTACGCAATCCTGCCATCTGGAATTAAGCAGTTGCTGGATGATATATCCACGTTGTAAGATCGCAGTGTGAACAGAACCTACGTGAACTACTCTCGAGTTTGTGATGAGAGTGATGTTGGTATTATTTAGAAGTACTCACACATTGCTTGCTTGCTTGCCTCGGCCATGGCAACAGTGTTAGGATAAAGCCCGGATAGATGGTTGCTGTGTTCCCTGGTCAGTCTATATTTCCACTAGTATGAAAATGGTCATGCACTACTTCGATTCCGTCGTACACTCTATCCATCGACCAATAACTCGGATAAACACGCGCCTCTACCAGACCAAGGCTACATTGAGGATACGCCCAGCATGCATCTTAGAGGCCAGTTTTGTAGCTCGAAGGCGCGCATTACCTTCTGCAAGGCAATTGACACCTCAGTAATTGAGCCCAATTGACAGCGCTTACCCTACAATAAGCCAGTAATGGAGAGCAGAGGAGGGTGTGGTGGATAAATTCGATGGTTTATTGAGCCTGTCAGTCCGAAGACTGCGGAGCATCGATTGCAAGGTGGTGACGATGATGCAGTAGTGAGCATGAAGTGCGAGTTAGAAGACTGTTAGGCATAATCGATGAAGCGTGAGTGAGGATGATAACGTGAATCAGGTCTTGTGCGAGAGGGAGACTATGACAAGTGCATGTAGCATGAACGATGGTATGAAGGAAGGCACATAGATTCCTTCACTTGTCATGAATGAATGGAGGGACCTCTTGAAGAGCCATGGTGAGTGATGAGTGATGTGGGCGGTGATGGAGTCGACTAGGGTATGGTGTAGTCCATTGTGGAAGGGAGAGTGAAGACAGGTGTTTGGCTTCTGTATGTAAGAAGTACGAATTGGAGTCCGCCGATCCAGTGGTGTTACTAGGAGACGTGGAACCATCGAATCTGCAATGTGAATAGAGTAAAAGGTGATTCTTAAGACGTGTGCGTTGAAGTGTGCAATAACAGATGATGGAATGGGAGCTCTCCATTTGCAAAGATTAGGAGGTGAAAACCTTCCCAGTATAAAGCCTCTACCTTTCTTGTTCCACGTATTTGTAATAAGAGGTTCAGAAAATAAATTCTACAGGTTCCACTAGTTTAAAATGCGAATGCATCTTAAAATGATAAAGCGTTACATGATCAACTCGCGGAATGTCGAAGAGTTGGATTGATCCTTTGCTGAGAGGTCTGTTTCGGCTTTGTCAATCGGAGAGTGAAGAGGGAGATTGGAGAGAGGCGATAGCAACTCACAAGCAACTTATGAGTGTGCAATTGTGCGTCGCACACATCCATATACCAAAATGGTGTTCTGAAAGGGAGTCTTTTATCCTGTGTCACCTGAGCAGTCAAGAGTTCTTGATCGTCTTAGCAATCGACTGCTTGATTTCCTCTTGACAGGCTGACCGTCTAGCTGACATTCAAATCTTGTCCTGAGGACGCAAGATAAGGAGTTTAATTCGTCGGGTGGCACAACGATATGTGAATGTGTTTTGTCACCTTGATGAATGACAATGGGATAGCTAAGTCAGGGCTGCGAGATAGTTCATGATGAGCGTATTTTATATTATATGGAATCTGTGGTGCTACTGCATTTTCAGTGGTTAAGATCGGGTCACTATGTATTTTTCTGCAACAGGAATGGTTTGTAGCTCCCAATCAGCTCATTTTGACGCAAGAGGGGACCACCGTTAATAGGTTGACCAGTTGGGAAGTCTAGCTATGATTACTTTAAAAGACAGAGCATGTCCCTACTCGCTCTTTCTGTATAGATCATCCCCGCTACCATCCTTTGCCATGAATAACACCCACCGCTATGGCACTCAGTTCCACCCGTCAAGCAACTTGCTCATTCGCTTAGCGAGACCTGAAGATGGTTGCAAGTTACACACACAAACCTTGCTCGTTTTCCGCCTAACGTAGTGACAAATGTTGTGCAACAACAAATTCTTTGGTGAAATGCAGAATACTAGATAAAAGTCCATGCTCACTTGTTCATTCAATGGCGTGAGGACTTTGGTAGCCACGGTTTGGGTCTGGCTTATCCCACATTGGAGTCATCGGAGTTCTGTCAATGCATATCGCCGGCCAAACACGGCGTAAACTAACAATTAAAAACTAATTTACACTGGTGCTTCCTGCAACGTCTTCAGAGCAGACTCGGGTGCTTCATCGTTTTCGTCCTAGTGGCGAGTGGGCAGCTGCATAGGTGGACGGTGATTCAGGTGAGTAGGTAGTGACCCGGACAACTTAGCTCAACTCAATTTGTTGCATAACAAGGTAATCGCAACAGATTAATGCGGAATTTGACGATGGACGCTGAGGCTTCCAATTATTATTGTGTATTAGTTAATTGAAAGCGAATTCGAAGCGGTGCAAGACCAGCTGTGTTCACTCAAATGGCATAGGGGTTTGCAATTACCATTTTGACTGTCAGATGTCATTTCACCAATCCTTCTGAATAGCAATCGCAGCATATTAGCGGACCTGGTCTGATCATTCTTAGTCGAAGTGTCATACAACTCGGGCAGGAAAAATCACACCTCTGTGTAAGTTACATAGATCACACCAACCATACAACCGACTGGAATGCAAAATTTTCACCTTCAAAGTTTTTTATTCGCCCATTTTTGCCCTCAGAATGATTCATATCTGAGACGCAACAAGAAACTCTCACTACATAAATCGCCCAACAAAGCCTCAGTGAATAGAAGTAGCGAAGAAAATATATTCGCAAGGGAATACAACGTGGCGCATACAGACAGAGCAACTTGAATATTGCACACGGAGTTTAAAAGCCTGATAAGTTCTTTAATTTGTAGTTTCTCAATTCTTCACAACAGTAGCATCTCCGGTATTTTCTGCTTAAACGAATAACATTCGACACACAGTTCCTTTTTCGGGGTAAATGAAAATGATCTAACCCGAATCTTGCATTGACACTGTAACTTGACAAGAGTAAACTGACGGAGGTAATGTTTGATGTGATCTGCCGAGGCTGCCAATGTGACAGGGTCAGATAAGCCTGGGAAGGGGTGGGATCAGTCTCTCTTGCCTTAGAGTAAGCAGTGTTTAAATTCCCATCAATTAGGTACGTTTCGCTTGTCAGATTGTCTCATTTTCTCACCTTCTCTCATTGTACCGTTTTCGCACTTTTACGCTACATTGCCATGTGTTTTCGTGTTAACTCAGTCATCTCGACGAAACGCCGCCCAAAAATGCACAGAAACAGTGTACCAGTGAACGAGACTTTGTGCATTCATCTTCGACGCTCTTTGGTTGTCATGAAGTACACCGCCAATTATTGAATGGGATCTAGTGACAGCGCCTTCAACACGCTTCTCTCACAAACGCCGTCTACCTTATCCAGCTATGCTCATCAGGCTATAATGCCTTTGTAAGGTCGGAAAATGAACTGTGGCATGATTTGTTTGCCATCGTCAAAAATAGGTATCAAAACGTATGAAAGTGTTATGCAAGTACGTGCACTGACTAACTATTTTATGAAAAGAACGATAGAACTTCCCTTTCCACGTCTCTGCTTCCTACGTCTCTCATACAAATCTACCTGCCAGCGAGCATTACAAATGAGTGTCAGTTCTTTGCTAATAATCTCTTTCAGTTAAGGCCAAAGAAGACTTGGCCAGAGAACAACGCAACACTCTTGGATTGCTTCCCTTATTTTCGCATTTACTTGCTTCCTTCTTCTACTCATCCTCTCCATCCCTCTTTCCTTCATTCAATCATCCACTTCCTTTTTTCGCGGCCTTAAGTTGTGAAAGTTTTGGCTTTTATGCGGTGCATAAATTTCCACTTGTTGCTGTCATGTAACATTCTAAATTTTCTTTTCGCCTTAGCATTATTACTTACACCCCATCCTCCCTTCCCCCATTCCTTTCATTGAATCTCCCTCTTGCTCTCTACTCCAAGGCGAAGAGGTCCAAATTTTGGCCGTTTGCATCCGCAGTCTCAATGCCATCTCGCCCAGCTCCTTCATCCTCGTCTGCGTTTGGAGCTGGGTCTTTATTTGCATCACGTCCACCACCAGGACGCACCATTGTTCTAATCAAAAAAGTCATCTCTTCTAATTGTACTCCTATGAATCTTCTGTAAGTGGTCAAGAATAGTCTATCCAACGTGTGAGAATGATACTTTACTGTCAGCTCTTCATTTGAATCAGCGCATTGATGGTCCTGCCCTGTAGCATAAGTGGAAAGCTTTGCTTATTTATGCTTACATTCAAGTCAAAGTTGTGGTGGCTAGTCAGTTATCTTCAATCCCATCAAACACGAGCTCGAAACCCTCCTAGGCGCTAAATGCTTGAAACATCAACGATTCATCGAGGCCACCTGGGGGTAACGATGATTGTTTACTCTCCTCTTCCATGTGTTTGCCTTGCTAGAGACAATCAATGGGTAGTGAATACAGTTTTCTGACAATCTGATAGAATAAATGATCATTTGTTTTCTGCAATTGATAAGAGCATAGAGCGAGGGTCCTCGTATTTGATCCGCAATACACAATGCCTCCATCACGAACTTGGCATTATTTAACATGGAAATACAAACCAATTCGATTTGATTCGTCAATTCTATCGAGGAATGCTAGGAGCTATTTGGACCCTTGGTGGAATCACCCAGAATATGTAAGTACGTGGAAGAAATGCATGTCGCCTTCGTCAACTAAGTGAAAACAACTTTACCTTATTTGTCAAGTCCAACTCTGCCATTTGGCATCATGGGCTATTCACTTTAGAATCTTCCAATACCAGGCAGATGGATTTGGAGGTAGGGGAATGGGAAAATGCATGATGGATTATTACAAGAGACAAGTTTGGGTGGAAGAAAGTGGTAATGGGATAGGCTCAGCTAAAGGCAGGTGTTTTCGAGGTTAAATCATATCTTGGTCGGAAATTGAAAAAAAAGAATAAAGGAAAAGATAGAAGGTAGGGCGGTGATATGTAGGTGTGAATCTTCGGACTCAACTGAGATGCGATAGAACTATCTAAAAGGATTAACGGACCCGACCTCACACTGACCAATAATCTTTGAGGAACTGGTCGGTTGTTGGCGTAATTCGGCTTGACATCCGCATACCGCGATGACTGTCACTTTTGGAGTTGCTCACTTGCTCACCTCACGTCCGTCCTCAACAAATTGTCTCTGCTTCTTCTATCCACTGCTCACATTTGCACTTTAGAACTTTAAAGGACACTAGGATTGCATGAAAAATATGGATCCTGCAACAATAGCTCTTTTGAAGGGCAAATGAAGAAAGAGGCCTCTCATTACGCACTAGCAGAAGAATTGGCTTCCCAGGTTTCTACCGCAGTGCTTGCCAAGTTAGGTGGAGAGAAGGAACATGTTGATGACGACAACACGGACGATGATTATATTATATAGCAAGCCCTTCGGAATGCGGATATTACATCTACAGCATCGTCAATGCATACTTGCTCTTCCTCTGTTGCTGACAATTTCTTGAGTCTAGGAGTGTCTGTTGTGAAATCTATGCCCTTTCTTTCCATCTTTTGCGAGGAAACAGATGGAATGTGTAATGTGAGAGAAACAAGAGTAAACTGGTAAATTATTTTGCCATCTGACTCAGTGCTTAACGAATTAAATCCAAGTTTGTCATCAGCCTGTAGTTATGTTATGTCGTCTCACACTAACCTCCGTGAGTTTGGGAGCCCATTGGTTGTCTTCCTGTAATTTAGCATCACATGGACACCAGAACTTGTTCAGTCAATTTGCTTTGCATATGTGAACAAAAAGAATTACATCCCTGAAGAGACGAAAAATTTTGCTCAACTTTGCTATTTAGTACGCTTACTACTAAGATCTGCTTGTTTGACAGCAAAATTCATTACGGTATTCCAGCAATTGTATCGTTCAAATAGTCATACTAATCGAGGTTATGTTCAAGTCGACTCAATCCAAGAAGATATTTTTTATCAAATTATTTTCAAAATTTAAAAGTCTTTTGTAAACTATGATTTCGCATAGCGCCAGCTGCAATAGGCGACTTAGAAGAGTAAAAGCGTATAGATTTGGCCTTTGGATACATAAAGCACTACATAACCGTCAAGGAATACATGTTCAAATATGGCCTGGGGACAAGGATGAAGTTCTGCTTCACCTTTCACCTTGAATGCCTATTAATTTTTACTGCAAATATATTGGGCTCCTGGGTCTTCTGACACTCATCTGCCGACTCTAGGCTAAGGCGTGAAGACGTGCACAGACACGCGTCATCAAAAATTTGTTCCCGCTTATTCACTATTACTATCAGCGATTTAACTCAGAAGGACCCAATTGTAGCGTCCTGGGCCTCCCTGAAGACGAAAGAAGACAAAATACTCGGGCAGAATATACATTCGGCGCAGAGAAGGTATCTGGGCTATTGGCATGGCCCAGAAGGCCAGCCCACCCAGTGAGGTACAAGGGGGCTAATTCAAAGTACAAAAGTGGCGCCTCACCAATGCCAAAGGGATAAACCGCTATCGTATTACACAATGCTACACCTGGAGCCGCGACAGTAAACCATTCATTCAAAAAGGTACCTGGTGACCTTAAAAATTAAGATTGGGACAGTTCATAAAGATAAATATTTAAAAAAGTAACTGCGTGACAGTTAAGATGATTATAGTAACACTCGAGGAGACTGAAGTCTTGCACATGTACTGAATTAGCAGAGCAGGAAATAGTTATTTATTCCTTTAAAAGCAAACATGTAAACCATAGTAGTTTTTAAAAAGTGTTTTGTCATTCTTGTTTCCATTTTATTTATGTTTATGGACGTACAAACGCCCAAAGATGTGTAGATGCATACATACATATTGCCTTATTAAATGTGGAAAATGAAATAAAGTAAATTAAGGACATTTTGTCTCCAAAGTCAAAGCTTATTCACGTTTGTTTGTTATGCTGGACAATTCCTCACGTAAGTATCTTGAAATGTAGTTGCATCGGGTTCGTCTTGTTGCTTAAATGGAAAAATCCCAGTGTATAATGGGTTCTACTTGATAGCAATGATGTTTTGGACCTCAATTCGACGGGAATGTACTTCTAATGGGGCTTTATCGGATGAGCATGGAGGCATTACCGGACAACACTAAGTGGTAATTCTGCCTTCGATATTACTTCACACATTGCTCAGGTAAGAATGCCTTATCATTTGTGAGCTGTAATTATACCTTTTATTCAGTAGTGGATTCAATAAACGTGCTGTTTTGGGCGGCAACGTGCCTTTACCCGTTATTCCCAGGTCTTTTTATAATTTATGCATGGCTGGAGAGGTTTCGGCGGATTTCATACCACATCTTTGGTCTTCCTTTATCCGCTTTGCTTTCCCTTACGATGCTGGACAACATGGAGTTCCTCGAAAAGCATAAGGCCTTTCAAACTGAGGAATTACCGGTAATTGCCGACTTCTTTAACTATCTCATTTATGCAACTGTTCTCGTACCTCCTTGTCCCCCCCCCCCCCCCAGTTTTGCCTTTTTGCCGAATCATTGATGATCTCGAGGAATCAAGCACCAACTTTTTCCTCTATAGCAGCTCCACTCATTCAACCGCTTTTCTGAGAGAACTCATCCTCAAAACCACCTGAATTACAAAATCTACAGTCAGCTAGGATTCCGAAACATCTTCAGTTGTCCACCTCGAACACCATCAGCCACTTCTTCATCTGTCTGCGCCTATCGGCAATCCTTTATAACCGTAGCAGTCGGCGCAAATCCACATCGCCTAATTTCTGGCTCATTTGGTCCGTGGGTGGGAGCCAATGCCTTAAGTTAACATACACTTTTCGTACTTCAGCGGTGTCAAGCCATCAGCTTTCGTGTCGGATCTATGGAAGTCGTAGGCTCGCACCGTGCTCCTCAAACATATGCCACATATCATTTCAGGGAAGGTGTGTCATCTGATTTGCCCTTGTCGTCTCAAACAAGCAAGCAAGCTATGCTGCCCCGCGAGTTGTTGAGAGCAGATAAGTCGGCTGTAGGAATCCTAGAATAGGCCAACTGCTTGCTGAATAGCTCCGCAGCGGGCGCTATCATTATGATGCACCGAACTGGTGGTGGGCATAATCGGCTGTCAGCGTAGCCTTTGCGAAGCAGACACTGACCAGTGTGCTAGGCCCATGGCCGTGTACCACCGAGAGGGTCTACTCGATCAGATGGAGCGTAATTCACCTCGTGCCCGACCAGTGCTACGATGCCCTTGCTGATCATCGAGAGGTCTGGCGTCTAAAGCTTCTCAGCTTCTTTACCATCTCTTCATTCCGCCTTATTTGCTGATCCCACTACAATTTGATGTCAATTCTTACAGTTTTGGTACAGTTATGAAATATACTTGCGAGTATTATTTCCTTCTTCAATGTTTTGTTAATTATTCATCGTTTACTTGGTTTATCTGCTTGACGTAATGCAAAGAGGGATTTTTGTTTGCAAGATCATCATTTAATTCAAAGTGGCTTTGATGAGCCCGCCGATTGGCGGAGTTAGTTGCAAAGCCTCAACTGGGAATGAACTGTGCTCCGAAGTGCTTGCCCTCAGAAAGGAGCAATCGCCAGGCAGTAGACTCGAATTTTCGATTCATCCTCACTATGTTCAAAGTAGAAATCCTTTGCTATCGTTTTGAGTTTGGCGCAAACAGGTCTTCCTCAAAGGGTGTGAACATTGTCCTCCTAAAAACGCGTAGTTTTGTTGTAGACGCGAAATGCTTGGTGCGGAAGTAATTCGTAGAACGAGGGGAAACCTGACGATTGGGTAAGCGTTTCCCACTTTTTTATTGTCTCCTACTCTGAGTCTTTTATCGCATTACCGCCGGAAAGTTTGTGCGGTTTTTGATGTGCCACTGTTACAATGATTGGGTGTAGCGTGAGTTTTATAGCCCCACGTTAAGGTGTTACTTGTGTTGTCTTTTGTGATGCATTGTTTGGTTAGCGAACGAGTATCTGATAGGCTGTACCCATGAAAACTTCACTTATTGCTATTGCTCACTGCACACTTCCAAGGCATGGCATGTCGCGATGAGAATGTACTACCTGTGGAGACTGAAGTAACCAAGTAGTTGGACTTGGGGTTGAGTCAGCCACCAAACTACACCTTTTGTTGGTGCGTGTGTAGACTGCAGACGGGGATATCCGCAATAAATTGTTCACTGGGTGAGGGAGGCCGAACAATCGGAGCTGAGACCCACCTACTTTAAGGAGATGGGGATGCCAAACTTCTAGTTGTGAAGCAGTCAGGAGAGTAGAAAGAATTAATGTGGAGGTCTTAACGTCACGCAACGGCATGACATAGGGTGCTATACCACATACTTGAAAATGGATCCGTGAAAAGATGCGCAGTTGAGGATCGGCAGGCTCAATGTGGAGATACTTACTACCGATATTTTCATTTATGGTAGATGCCAACTTTTTTGGGTAAAAGTATGAGATAAGTAGCGGACTACATGCGAAAATGAGGAAGGGGTTGGGGAATGAAAGGGGGATGGCAACGGTGATAGCTCCTGCTAGGCTTTTGGTTGCCATGGCAGGGTGTTTTACAAACTTGGAATTTGTGCTTACTCATTTCGAAAATGTTTCAAATTGTATCAGTGACTAGTTCGATGAGTGAAATTCATGCAATGTTTTTTAGCTATTTAAATTTTGTCGCCCATTCGGATGCTTTTGCCTGATTTCTCACTTTAGTCTCGTATGTGACTATTTTTACCCCAATATCGGTGGGGTGGAGAATCACATTTATCAACTATCTCAATATCTACTTTCACGAGGTCATCGGGTGATAATAATCACCCATGCTTATGGTGACGCCTGGCAACGCCAAGGGGTTCGTTACATGCCCAGGGGTCTCAAGGTATCTCTGTCTTAATCCCGTACTTTTGTTATTGAATCCCTTTCGTCGACTTGGCTTATTGCAAGGGAGAAGTAGTGCATGTAATCCTCGTACTCGTCCAGGCTGTCACCTGACCGTTATTCGTTTGTATAAGCATTAATGCTAGGAGGCTATCGGTTAAGTGTAATGCATTTGTCTTAGTGATTCAGCGCCACGAATGCACTGTGGTAAGATCCATCTCGTACTTTACAGTACGAGTGGTGTTGTTTGTGCCGCATGACTGGCTCGCCTCCGTTGCCACTAAAGTGTGAAGCACTGTGGTTTTGTACCTGTTTTAGCCAAAATGACTCATCTGATCCGCACACACACACACGCATGGGATCATCATGAAGTTACCAACTAAGCTCAGATTTCTCTAGACCACATTTCCAACTGTATCATATCGTCCTTCACCCTTGTGTAAAACAGTACATGAGTGTTGCTGTGATTCTTCTTAATTGTCCTATTTTCCATCCTTTTTTTGGTAGGTTTACTACATTCCATATCGTTCGTTCTACGGCCAAACCGTTTTCGTCACTGTGTTTGGTGGCCTAACAGTTGTCCGCGATATTTTGGTCCGCGAAAGTGTGGATGTGGTTCATGGTCACTCGGTACGTGTTTGCATCACTTTGATGTTGCTTTCTCATTGTACATCGTTCGGGTAGAACTCGGCATAGCCTTTTGGAAGTTTTGAAGGGTAGATGAAGTCATGGATGCGGTCGATAACTGCATTACCTTGCACAACTCTCGCCGATTCGAGCCTCAGCATTGATTTACGGTTGAAAAACGAGGAGTAAATGGTCGACCTGGCATCATAGAACTCTTTCAAATAAAGTGCTTGCGGTGCTCTTCCCACATTTCGATGACTTTAATCTGTTCCTCAGCAGGCGCACTTCGAATGCCCATCACTCATTCCTTATCCTCTTTACTCTCTCCGATGCTGTTCCTCCAAGTGATGGATGTCACCTGCTTTGGCACAAGCATCAGGCAATCGCATAAACGCATGCAAAGCGGGTGAGACGAGTGAGGGCTAGAGTTGAGCTGATGGGCAAGCTTACTGTCTCGGTGTAATAGGATGGCGAATTGTGGCGGTGGTTATTCAAACGCAGAAAAGATGTACATGAGGAGAAGGGTTACAAAGCTCTTTTAAATCTCGTCTAAACTCATCCAATCATAATCATCACATTTTTAATTCTTAATCAAAAAGATTGAAAACGATTTTTAAAAGTTTAATTTTAATCCAATTGAAAGGTGAAAAGAAATTGATTCCATACCGGGATGCACTATATGTGATAAAATGTGTTCACATCTGGTTCTTTTTGTTCGTAGTAGCAGTTTTCTGTGAACGGCTAGACAACATGAGCACTTCTTTGTTTCTTCTGTCAGGCCTTCTCCCCATTGGCATTGGAGTCTCTGATGCATGCCAAGGCCCTCGGTCTGCGTGCTCTCTTTACGGACCACTCACTATTCGGGTTTGCTGACCTCTCCTCCATCCTCGCCAACCGTGCGCTTTTTATGTCTCTAAACGTGGTGGATAACTTCATATGCGTCTCTCATGTGGCCAAGGAGAACACTGTGCTGCGTGGTGGCATAGAACCAGAACGTGTCTACGTCATTCCCAACGCCATCGACCCCCGTGCTTTCACTCCTGATCCTGCCCGCCGTGATCCAGATAATAGTGAGCAGAGTAACCAGTTAAATTGCTCCAGCTGGTGCATCTGGCGTACCGGTTAATTGGTCTAAACTCCATGCCGATTGGCTCATTTGAAAAGGGTTGGAACAAGATTGGAGCAATGGAGTCTGGCTATTCGGTCACACCGTTGAGTGGTGGGTCAAGCTCTGCACTGAATGGTTGTTAGGAAGAGGTTAAACTGGATTTTGGAGTGGAATTTTTTATTTAACTTCGACGAATGGGAAGAGTTCACGAAACCACCTTACTTATGCCAAACTTGGTTAGTGACTAAAAGCAATCTAATTGTTGAAAAGGCGTATCAGTGTGGCATTACTTATTTTAAAGCCGGCTCTGATTTGACTGCAAAAGTTGGTGCCTCTTCTATTAGTAATGGTAAATTGCCCATACGGTTGATTACAAAGAGTACCGTCCACCGCTCACTAATATCACATGAAAAAAGTTAATGCTGTTTTCGAAAAGGCTCCCTGGAATGCGCGTTGGAAATCACCAGGGACTTGTCAACTGCGTACAGCTTTCTTTTTACGCATACTCATTATAGAGCGCAAATGCACGTCAATCAGTCATGCTGATTTCCCGTCTTTTTCACCTTCACGTTTATTGAATACCGGTTGAATGTGAGAAATGTAATACAAGCTTATTTGTTTTATGACCCGAGAAGGTATGGTATGCGGAAGCAGAATACACCATCTAGAACTCAAATTTTGCAACTAACAGTCTTGTTGTGGTGGTGGGACCCGAAAATGGGTGCACCACATGAAGGAACGCCCATTTCTGAATTGCGAGGGTGTCAGTGACCGCTACGGAGAAGTGGTTAAGCGAATGGGTGCCACATGGCATCTCGACGTAGGTTATAAAAACGCGCGTACATTGTTTGATGAGTTGTGACGAGAGATGGCTTTTGTGATGGAATCGTCGTTGAGAGAATGTACGCGTCGTTGGGCATCCCCAAAGGATCTATTCCGTGCGCACTTCTGAGACAATCTGGGCATAACCTCCAAAAGGTGTGTTTGTTTTGGACTGCAGACGAAGTGCTCACTTGCGGAGGACCAAACACTTTGAGCTGACCTCTATCCTCCCATTACTATGCGATGCGATACGACCCGTATGTGTAAAAAAGAAATTTTGTCCGAAAGTCTCAGGACCAGTAAAAAAGTGGGTAGAAGAAGGTTCTATTCTCGCTCTCACAAGACGATGCAACGCAATGCAAAGCCTATTTCTGACGTGACCTCATACCGCCTCGTCTTCAGACTCACCAAATGAATTTTCCTTTGGGCACTTCTGGAAGTGCCAATCCTTACCCTTTCTTGATAAAGGCATTGGGTATTCTCATGATGACATGCGAAATTGAATAGACAGTTGGAGACCAAAGATGAGGCGTCATAGAAAGCTTGTATCACCTTGGCGTTTCAATTTTGCATAACCTTTGGCAGCAAATATTTAGAAATCTCCTGCAGACCTTTGACTGTAAAATCTTGCCTAGATTGGCAATGTTGCAATTCATCCTCCGCCTTTGTTACAGACCGGTGTTAATGTGCGTGAGTTTGGGCCTTGTTTTACATCCCAACCGAAGTAATCAACTAATAGGACCCGGGGAACCCGATCTTCTCAATACTGATATTGTGAATGTGCGTACGTACGTGCCTGCTGTCCGGATTACTGCAGTTCCAGGATATTCATCATCTGCATGATTTTATGTCACTTTGAGTGACCTTAACCTTGCCGTGGTTATTAGTCCATGCGGACTTTGTCTTTGAGATGAGCTTAATGCGAGTCTAAATTGCGGGATATTTTAGAATGTCGAGGTCAATCATGCTCCACAGATAGTGTTAGAATATTAAACTAGGGATGTTTGTCTGAGTTCACAGATATCTTCAGCTTCTTCCATTCAGTAAACCACTTTTGACTTCTTTCCTTTGTCTTTAGTCACCGTGGTCGTCGTCAGCCGATTGGTTTACAGAAAAGGTGCAGACTTATTGGCTGCTATAATTCCACCATTGTGCTCCACCTTTCCTAAGCTTCGATTTATTATTGGTGAGTTCTGACAATAGTCAAGTGCCCTTTCGATGAGTCAGCATTTGATATTATTGACAAGTCTATTTGCTTCATAATTCAAAGTCCTTGATGCGTTCTTTGCCATGGCACATTCGTTTGTTTTGTGGTTCAATGTAACCAGGGATTCTGTGTTAAGGATAAGGTACGTTAAATGAATTGGTGGAAGCGCTATGATCGTCTTTGCATGGTGTTTCGTCTAGGTGGTGATGGTCCCAAACGATTAGCACTGGAAGAGATGAGAGAGCGACACAACTTACACTTCCGTGTGGAGATGTTGGGCGCCTTGCCAAACCACAAAATTCGTGATGTGAGTGGCCTACCTCATGAGCCCATCTTCGCTTTTATCAGGTTGCTAATCCACTAACATTCGATTTCACAGGTCCTTGTTTGCGGCGACATCTTCCTCAATGTCTCTCTCACAGAGTCCTTTTGCATTGCCATTGTAGAGGCTGCGAGCTGCGGGTAAGTGGCATGTTTAGTGATTATCTTCTCACCTTTCTGTAGGCTCCTCGTAGTGAGCACGAAAGTAGGCGGTGTGCCTGAGGTGCTGCCTCCACACATGATCAGATTGTCTGCAGTCAGCGCTTCGGGATTAGCTTCCACGCTGGCCGACGCGATTGAGGAGGTTCGTCAGCAGCGTCTCCAATGGTCGCAGGAGGCCTCTCTGACTCGGTCTGTATCTATTGAGTCTCAGGCAAGTGTTGCGGGTTCTAGATGGGTCAGCAGCAAAATGAAGGTCACAAGCGGTACATTTGTTATATAATCATGACCCCATCGCCCGCATTTGTTGGAATCTTCTCCCAGTTATCGTTGTGATTTGCACAACTCCTAAGGTGGGAAGTGGAAAAGGTGCCCTACTTAATCGTTACCTTGGGTCTTTGTGTTGAATTCTCCCAAAACGTGTTGAATATGCAAGCAAGCAGACTTGTCCTAGGGTGCCCTCGATTCTACCGCACCTTTTGTTTCCCAACTCTCTTGTCACTTTCGTATGCCATCGTGCGATCAGGCAATGCCTGTGTCAAGGAGAGGTGAGAATATTTGCCTTGAGCAATCTGCTTGGGGACATTCGTTGAATGAGGATAAAGACGAGATGGTGTGAGGTATTCTTAAGACCCTCATAGTACTAATTTTCCCCTTCTATATAGTCAGAGCAAACTCATTCGTCCAAATGGGATGTCTTTCCTTCACCGTAACGAGTCGTTGCACTTTGGTGTGATTCCTTATTCAAGATCTGGAGGGTGCTGGGCAAATTTCGCCAAGAAGCCACCAATGTAGGCTCCGAGTGACCGTTGAAGACGTGATCAGGCTTTATAATGAGTGTACAGAAGGGTCTGCGGGACAATTAATAATGTCGATGTGAGTAGAGGCTCTATGTCTTCCTCATAGAGGCTGAATCGTGGCCCGTGTAATGCCATCGTGAAGTACCTTTCATAAATGCTCAAATGGTGTGTGCGTGGAAAGTGTTGGCTAGAAAAACGAGTGATGGTACAAAGATTGCATCGTAATTGGCTGAATAGATGTCATTTGTCAAGCAGAGTGATGCCGCGAATCAACGCCAATCACTCCGTCGATCGAGAAGTGTTTCCTTAGAAAGAATGAACGAGAGGAAAGAGGTTGAGAGTGGCACATCAATGGGTCTGGGTGGCCCTCGGATCCGGCTTAGCCAGTCATCCTCCTGGCCCTCCGCCTCCGCCGTTGAAATGGCATGGCAACGCCATCGTCAGATCCGCCTATGCTACACCTGGGGTGATGTCACTCGACGCACTGAAATCGCCTATCAAGCAGCCATGTCGCGGCCGCGTATCACTCCCAAAGACGCTAGCATTGCGTACGTCGCTCTATTTTCTGCTCCAAGTGAGGTACTTGATCCCATCCAAAATGTCATGTAGGTTACTCACTTTTTCGACCATTCGACCTTGATGAACATTTCGTTTCTCATTGTGGACTATTTACTTAAGGCATATTTAACTCGGCCTTGTGTTTTTAGGGCTTATCAAAGACTGGGTCCAGTATGTGGAATTATAGTGGCAATCGGATGGATGATTGAGTGGATTTTTATCATTCTCTTGGAATGGTTCAAACCATCCAATGTAAGTCATTGAGCGCAATTGTGGAGGCACCTCTTTTGGAACTGCAGTTGTCACTATTGACAGATGATTTCTAAGCCTTCTTCAAAATCTCAGACTTTGCGATTTCCACTAGAGAAGGCAGTTTGAATGGTCACAAAACAATTTACTTGCCTTTCATTCACATATTTCTTTGTTTCTTCCCTAATTTTGAGACAATTGATCGAGTACCCTACTTTGCCACAACATCATGGCAATTCGACATGTGGAACCAATCGGTGATCTCGCCTTACGAGGAGATGAAGACGACGTCCATATTGGGCAGTACTCCCAAGAGGTGTGCCTTCAAACAAAAAGGTGCCACCTCCACTGCATGTGGCGATGTCACTCGGACCTCCTATTAATGGGATTGTTTCTTCTAAAAGACTGTTTGACACTTCCCTTGTGATATCAGTAGTATTGCGTCACTTATTGCATGTGTACGTGTGCGTTTTGTTTACATAGTACTTTCCTTTTGAGCACATGCCTTTTTAAGGGCGGAAATTCCTTTTTAATTCACTACGCTTTAGAAATGTTGGAGTCCAAGTTCGGGTTTGACCAGCCGTTGCCGACTACGCGGTCTGAAGTACTAAAGATTGTGAACATCAAGCGATTCGGTGATTCTCGCACCTGGCTGCCATAACACGGTGTTTGCGCCCTTGCGTGAGTTTGGATCCTGTGCCTCTTCTAATCGGATCAAGTCAATGATCACGGCCTCAATGCTGATGTCTTTACCACCAATCGCCACGATAGTACGACGTATACGATTAATTTGGGGGGTCTTTAGAAATGTTTGCCACTTAGTGGTTTTCGGTTTCACATGTATGCATTCATTCATTACTTGTACTTATATATGCATTTATAGAGGTCAAAATTTATTTCTCAAAGGAAACAAATTGGCCGCAGTTTGTGCTTATTTGTAATGGTAAACCATATTTTAAGCCCATTAACTTAACGCAATATTTTCGAGATTTTTGCCTGTTGTGTTGTTTTGCCTCGTCGTTATGTTGGATCCTGTGTTACGTTGATAACGCCAATATTTTGGGTGGAGAGGCTCTATTTGTTAGAGAAAAGAAACCCCTAGTAAATACTGGACTCCACTTGGTACCAATGTCCATTGCACATTATTTAGATGGCCTGGCCTTGGGCCATGTCAGTAGTCACGATCCCTTCTACATATTGAGTTTACATATTCGGCCGAAGTATTGTTTTCTTTCGTCTTCATTGGTACAGTGGAAATCGAATCCGACTTTAAAGGATATTAATTCCGAAATCAACTGCTAAGCGGTAAACCTTAGGTACGCAGAGGAAGTGCATATGCGACAGATGGGAGAATTGGCGACTACTCATTAAAAGGGCTGAAAATGATGTCTATCTTTGGCAACCACCCCAATCCCGTGATGTGCAGGAAAGTCACTAACAATAGATGCGTCGCTAACCATGAACAATTTGAAAAAGTTTTGTTACGGAGTTGCCTA